CAACAGACTAATGTAAACGACCCAACGTTAATAGATGTATTATCTGCTTTAAATAATATAACAAAATTGTTAAAAAGCGTCACATCTAGACTAGATAGATTAGAAAGTAATCAATCTAAGTCTAACAACAAAAATAAAAAGAAAAAGAAATGAATCGCACACTGCGAATCATAGCATGGAACGCAAACAAGAACTTGATGATTTCTTGCACAATGAAAACATTGATATTGCTCTTATATCAGAAATACATTTTACAGCCTAGACTGTCTTAAAAATTAGAAATTATAGTATCTATACCACTCTCCATCCTAATGGTAAAGCTCGAGGAGCTACGGCGATAATCATAAAAGAATCTATTAAACATTTTGAGATTGTGAAACACTCAGAACCATACTTACAAGCCACAACCGTAAGCATCAATGATGTCAACAATGACCTCACAGTTACGGCTATTTATTGCCCACCACAGGGAGGCGCAGGCAAAATTAAGTTTATTGATTTTTTTCAAAAGCTAGGACACAGATTCATTGTCGGTGGAGACTATAACGCTAAACACACCTACTGGGGATCAAGACTTATCACTCAGAAAGGACGTGTTCTATTTAAAGCAGTCAATACTATCAACGCTGAAGTAATTTCTACGAGTAAACCAACTTACTGGCCAACTGGTCCGAATAAAATCCCTGATTTATTAGACTTTTTCGTAGTTAAAAATATTTCCTCTAACTATGTTGAAGCTGAAGGACTAATAGAACTATCTTCTGATCATATTCCCGTGTTACTTTCACTAAGCTCAAATGTCATAACGAAAGAAAGAAAAATCTTTCTTACAAACAAAAGGACTGATTGGGATCTCTTTAGGAGTGCTCTCGAAGAAACCATCACTCTTTCAGTTAARCTAAAAACATCATCAGACATTGATRCGGTAGTGCAAAAATTAACTAATGACGTTGCTGAGGCAGCGAGAGTGGCCACACCCATAATTCACGAAGGAATTAATCGGGAGAYCACTTAACCAATTGAAATAAGAGAACTTGTTCAACCAAAGCGTAAGGCGAGAAGAACCTGGCATAGAACGCGACATCCAGCGGATAAAAACAAATGGAATCGTATTAGTAAAATTGTACGTGAGAAAATCAACGAAATGAAAAACAAAACATTCAAATCTTATCTGAGTGGCTTATCCGCAACGGACGATACAGATTACTCTCTGTGGAAAGCTACAAGACGCATTAAAAGACTTCGTGAACATGTTCCACCTATCCGTAAGGCAGACGGTACTTGGGCACGCAGTGAGAAAGATAAAGCCGAAGTATACGCTCAACATCTTGAGAGTGTATTTCAACCAAATAATATCGCTTCTGAACTTGATATGATACAATGTCAACCGCTCAATGGAACAAGAGAAAAAATACGGTTTTTTACTCCTCTAGAAGTTGCCTATGAAATTGATAACAACATCAACCCAAAAAAGGCACCTGGTTTCGAYGAGATCAGYCCGCGAATACTTAAAGAGCTACCGRAGAAAGCGATAATCCTTTTAACACATATATACAACGCAATCCTACGACTAGAAAGTTTTCCTAAGCAATGGAAAAAGGCACAAGTGATCATGCTAYTGAAAYCCGGTAAGCCACCAGAAYGAGCTACCTCATACAGACCGAAATCGCTTCTCCCAAGTATGTCGAAACTCTTTGAAAAGCTTCTTCTTAAACGTTTAAAACCGCTTATAGAAGAAAGGCACCTCATACCAGATCATCAGTATGGGTTTCGGAACAAACATTCTACTATTGATCAAGTTCATCGTGTCACAAACGTAATAAGCAAGGCGTTGGAAGAAAACAAATATTGCTGCGGAGTATTTCTAGACGTAGCCCAAGCCTTTGATAAGGTTTGGCATAAAGGACTACYAATAAAACTACGAGAACAACTACCACATACCTGGTGCGCACTTATAGAATCTTATCTGACTAAAAGACAGTTTCGAGTTATGCACGAAGAAGCAATAACAATCTGGAAAAACATATCTGCCGGAGTACCCCAAGGTAGTGTACTAGGACCTACTCTTTATCTGCTATATACAGCTGACATCCCAACCAATAGTGACTCA